ATTAGAGAAATGTGAATTAAAACAACACTGAGATTCCATCTTACTCCAGAAAGAACGGCTCTCATCAAGAAATCAAATACTAACAAATGTTGGTGAGGCTTCAAAGAAAAAGGAACCCTTCTACATTGTTGGTGGGAGTGTAAACAAGTATAGCCACTATGAAAAGCCATATGCAGATTCCTCATAAAACTAAACCTAGAAATTCCATTTGACCTAGCTATTCCTTTTCTAGGTATTTTCTCGAAAGGGTTAAAGACATCATATTATAGTGAAATTGTCTTTAATTGCGTACTCATGTTTATAGTAGCCCGACTCATAATAGCTAAATCTTGGAAGCAACCTATATGTCCATCAACAGATGAATGGATAAAAAGTATGTTATTTGTACACAATGGACCACTGCTTTGCCATTAAGAATGATGAACTTCAGTCCATGAGGGAAAATGGATGAACCTTGAGACCATAATGTTACATGAAAGGAATTGGACACACAAGCTTAAGTATCAAATGATTTCTCTGATAGGATAAATCCAAAATATAAACAAATTAAAGAGAAAAATAAAAGGTAACAGGAAACAGGGAGATAGAGCTTTTGCAAAAGGGCAGCAGTCTGAGAGATGGGAGAGGGGATGAAAAAATCATTAGGATGTGTTCTGTGCATGCACCAACTCCACATGGTGAATGAGATGACCATGTACCGCACACATATACTATAACAATAAAAAGTTAAAAGTTAGAATCGCAATCATAATAGATATTTCTGGATTTTATTTAGGTTCTACTTATTCCATGACTGAGGAAACCAAAATCCAGAAGGGGAAGGCAGCGAGTGTCACAGATGAAGATGACCCCTGACCCCCATTCTTTCCAGCCTTGTTTCTATTTCTTCCTGCTATTCCACAAAACAAACCCCAGGCTCAGCGGATAATTTGTGCCAGATATTGACATTGACAATGGTTAATCAGACCACTAGGGATCTGAAATACATCAAAGGGGTTTGAAACACTGAGAAATACTGTTAAATGCACAGGAAGCTGTCTATAGTTATGCTTAGGAAGCATTATAACAACAGGGAAATGAGATACGCAGAGTCCGGTGTCTGGCAGGCAGCATTTGTGGGGGTCTTGAACAGTGTGACCCCATGGTGACCTTACCAGAGGGATGTTCCGAGGGTTAACTAGTTGGTTTGGCTCACAGTCACTGGTGATGGAAAGTGAACCTTCAGTGGGCACACTGCCCCAGGAGTGCTAGGTGATGCCAGTGATGGCCACGGAGGAGCAGCAGACAAGGGCCTAGAGCACCTCCACCAAGCCGTGGCAACTATCTGTTTAATTTTGCAAGTGCAGCCATGAAAAAGATAACTGAATCAGTTGCTGAAACAGTACACATGATAAAGAAATCCGTAGAAGAAGGAAAAATAGATGACATCACTGATAAGACAATTATAGGAGACTTTCAGAAGGAGCTGAAAAGATTTGTTGAGGAACAACATACAAAGAAGTCAGGAGCAGCTGTGGTGCCCCTTGGGTTGACAGTGATGATGAAGCAACTATTCAATAACAAACTGGCCTTCCCAGCTCCCAGAAGACTTCAGAGGAATGGGAGCCGTATCAGGGAGGAGTAGTGTGGCACCAGCACTTGGAGAAAGTGCTCCCACACCCTCTCTTCCGGCATGCTGGCAGAGACCCCATGGCCTCTGTCCCCGCTGCACAGACAGGGCAAGGGGAATTTCCTTCACAACCCTCCCAATGGCTTGCAGTTTTGAGACAGGAAGGTAGGGTGTGGCTAAAACTGACTGGGAAAAGAGGTGTAACAAGATCCCGGGACACATGTGCAGAACAGTTCCCAAAGCCCTGCGCAGGGCCTTCTCAAAGGTTTTCAATAGGACAGCCTAGTCATCCTGAGTGTTATCAGGTAGCTCTTTCTAAAAATGTCTTGCCAGTTAAATATTACTAGGTCCTAGGTTGCTTGCCTCTCCCTCTGGAGTTAGAGTCCAGGTTCTTCTTGCTTCAAACAAAGAATTGAACAAAATTAGTAAAAAGCAGTGGCCAAGTTTATTAGAGAAAGTGGAAGTGAAGAGTGAGAGAGAAACTGGCTCTGCAGAGTGAGCTTGGGCTGAGTAAAAGGAGAAAAAGCAATATAAGAGAACACTCAGGAGAAAGCACTGCAGGCAACCATGAGGGAATTCATGATAGCAGGCTCCTTATGGCATCTCCGTCCTTATATGTTGTCCAAATCGCGAGGAAACCCCCAAGAACTTCTACACAGGGTCCTGAGAGGTGGTGCTGGGATCACACCCCTCAGGCTGATGTCAGGTCTAGGGCATCCTATTGAAAACCCGCTGAAGTTCTTGTGAGAAGTCCCCAGGTAGGGCTTTGGGATCTGTTCTGCACATGTGTCCAGGATCTTATTATTAACAGGTCACACCTACTTCCCCAGCCAGCCAGCCAGCTTTGCCATGACCTAATCTCCTATCTCACCAAAAGTGGGTGATACAAAGAGCACAGAACACATTGAGTTTTGGCCACTGTGTTCTCTGTTGCATGGTGACCTACCCTCACACTATAGAGTGTACTTCTTTTTTTTTTTTTAATGAGGCCCAAACTTACTTGGCAGAACCTGCTTCTTTTCCTACCTTCAATAAAACTTTGCTACCATTTGCAAAGTTGATCAATTGATCAACTTGATCAGTTCTTTGCTCAGGACAGAAAGAACCTAGAGCCCACCTCCAGAAGGAGACTCCAGCACTCCAAAACCCAGTGCATTTCACTTTGACTTTGATCAGATGTACCACATTTCCCTGGTCATGCTGCAAGAGAATGAGCTGCTGAACAAAAGGCACCTCACCCAGGTTCCTAAACTAAACCAGCATTATCTGGGAACTCTTCAGAAAAAAAAGGGCTTCCTCTAAATTTCCACACATGGCACCCTGTGGCCCTGCTGGCATAACACAGGCACCTCTGAGGCTGCAGACTGGGCACAGCTGGGAGTCCCACATCCTTCCCTTCCCTTCCCACTGAGTGCCATTTGCCAAGAGTCCCCAGGACCCCTGGTGCTGTCAGATGGGCCCAGTAAGCAGAAATCGCCAGGTACTCCTCAGAGTCCACAGTGTGTCATCTGTAATATAACTCTTCCCCAGAGGGCAACACATGAGAGTTCTCAGTGTGCCTTTGTGACTGCTTCCTCTCACATGGAGAGAGTGAATTTTAAAAAGAAAGCAATCTGGACCAGGACCAGGCAGCACCCTCGAGAAGTTGAGCAGGACTGGGCAGTGTGGGGATCTAGACCTCATGTGGCAGAAGCACCTGGGGACAGGCAGCAGTGGAGCACAGAAAGACCATCATTCTGAGCTCAAGAAGATGGTGCAGTGGTGAGCAGCAGAGAGAGGGCCTCTCTGAGGCTTGTTGTTGAGAATCGAAGGAGAGCAAAGAGAGCCACTGTAATAAAGACGCAGCAGGCTGCAGCTGTTGGTGAGTTGTTGGGCTCAGCATTTCCTAACAGAACCTGGACTCACTGTGTGGAAAGGGCAGCTAGGACCTGAAGTGGAACTGTGCAGAGTTCAAACCTGCAAGAGGTCAGGGAGCTTAATTCCAGTCTCAAAGCCAGAAACCAGCCTGAATTTCAGTGGACTACAGATGGTCCACTGAGATTAACTGACTTGGATCTGTAAGCTGCCCACATTGTCTACCAGTGACACCAGAGACACACCTTGAAGGGGATATTCTTTCTCTTCTTTTCTTCTTTCTCTTCTCCCCCTCCCCTCCTCCTCCTCCTCCTCCTCCTCCTCCTCCT